TTTGTCTAATGTATTTTTATATACACTTTTAAAATGTCTGTTTTTAGCTCTAATAAAATTTTGTACTCTCCACAGATTATTTAAATACACTATATCTTCCTACACTATTCCAGTGCTTATTTGAATCAATATCCACATTTTTATATATTCATTTTTTTAATAGCTTCTCCTTTTTTTTTTTTTTGCCTCAGTCTGAAATAATTCTAAAGATATCAGCAATACTTCTATAAACCTTGTCTCTTCAGGAAGTTGGTGATCATGGCTCCCCACATGTTTCCTATCCTTCATAGCTCTTAGCAATGTTTGTATTTTTTATTATTCTTTCCCTTCTGTTCTGCCATCCATTTTCACAAGCTTGTTAGGTATGTTACTTGCTTTCATTTGTCCCTCTTGCCTTCAATAAATCCATTGTGTCAAATTTTCCAGGCCTTTTTTTTTTCACCATGCATTCCAGAAATTTCAACTGTGTAGTCAATCTGAAAATACTCATTTACCTAGACTTAGCACACATGTTAATTTTCAAAATACATGCTAAAAACATTAATATAATTTTTTGGCTATTAAAAGTTTTATGGTAGTTTTGCTTTTGTTTTAGTACATACATCACAAAGAACTGTTGGAAATGGCACTAAGCTTGATATATTTTGGAAGGATATAAGAATAATCCAAAATTTAAACTGGGAGAAAACTGCCTACATACAGATAGAAAATGAATTCAATAATCATACAAAAATAGAAAGGGGTATAAGACATGGATGTGTTATTTCACCAGACTTATTCAACTTTTACAGTGTGGTGAATCTGAGAGAATTAAAAGTCCTACCAGGATTCATTACCGGTGACCACAATTTTAACAACATTAGACATGCAAATGACAGAGTGTTGATAGCAGACACAGAAAGGAAAATACAGGAACTCCTACAGAATATGGTAAAAGAAAGTGAGAAGAAATGATAAAACATCACTTGTAAAAAGATAGATGTATAGTTGCCATTAAAAAGAAGAGCTCAACATGTGAATTACAAATTGGAGATGCCAAAATAAAGCAAGTACAAAGATTACATATCTGGGAAGTGTTTTAACAGAGGATGGAAAATATCACACTGAAATTCAAAGGAACATTGGGATATCAAAAGTTGCTTTCCAAAAGCTAAACAAAGTATTAAGAAACAGGAAAATTTCATTAGAAGCAAAGAAAAACGTATTTAACTGCTATGTCATATCAGTCCTCTTATACAGCAGTGAATGCTGGGCAATCTCCTCACAGATGAAGGAGAGACTTGAAGCAACAGAAATGTGGTTCTGCAGAAGGAAGTTGAGAATACCATAGACTGAACATGTGAGCAATGATGAAGAATTAGAGAAAATGGATACAAAAAGAAAACTTATACTTAACATCAGAAAGAGTTGAAATTTCTAGAGCACATAATGAGGAAAGTGGACTAAGAAAATTTGATACTCACAGGACATATTGAAGGCAAAAGATACAGAGGAAAACAGTGCATAACTGCTGCCTAACAAGCTTGTGTAAATGGTTGGCAAGGCTTAAGAGAGATAGAGAATAGACAAAATTTACTAAGCCCTTTAAAGGACAGGAAATTGTAGAGAGCCATTAATACAGTGTTGAATTCAGTATTGGGTCTGTTTATACAACCTTTGCTAGGCTTATGTATACAACTTTCTTTAACCTATACAATCCAGTGATGTTCCGTAATATGTTGAAATATACTGACAAAAACAATAAAGTGAGAATATTAGTCCAAATAACATGTGGAATAATGTCAATACCTCATCTTCGAATTTCAGACAATATTCATCTTCCTGCATATCGATAATCACTATGTCTGTACAACCTGATTACAGCTTTAAACTCACTGAACCTCCATCGTAGCCTCTAGATGCAGTATTGTCTGACTTCTCTCTCTTGCAGAACATGGAAAAGCACTTATCTGGTATTCATTATAGCAAGGACAATGATGTTGGCTCTGCTACTGAAGAGTTCTGCATCCGTCACAAGATCGCAGACAACCCAGTATCACTGCCAGAAGTGAACTTCAAATGCAGCCATATAGACAATAATCACTTATCCTCCTCATATGGTCAAGTCTAACTTGGTCAAACCAGAAACTTTCCACTCTCTCCTCATACGAATAAAACTTGAGAAGAACAGACTAATACATAGAGAGAAAATAGATCATAAGTAGTCTGACAATAGCAAACAGAATATGGAATAGGTAGACAATGAATGTCTTATTAAATCAGAATCATCATATATTATTAAATATGAATAACTTATAATTTTATCAAATTAAATTTTATAAAACATAATTTAAAAGCAAGTTTAATTAATTTTAACTCCAGTCACCATAAAAGTCCAATTTTAAACCACAGTCTTTAAACCATAGCCTTTACTAAATATATAAGTTTTTTGCACTATTGTTCACCCAATACAAGCCTCAAGAGCCATTCAAGGTAGAAAATTAAAAGAGGTGGTTTTATTGAGGAGGTAAGAAGTGCAGATTATGAGGATATGTAGGATAGATAAACAGTTGACACTAGATTGAAGTTAAGATTATAGTGATCAGTTATTGATTGATATTTTTTTTGTACAGCTTATCAACCTTTTGTGGGTTATTTAAGACATATTTTAGAAAGTAGGAGGTTGTTTACAGTACCTGATGGTCCACCACCTAAATAATGTCCAGGCTTGATGCTGCTTAACTTCAGTGATATAGTGATCGGGAAAGCATCCTGACACAAGTCTGTTCCACGAAGCAGGTTCAATGTTGCTTAATTTTGGTGATCATATTGGAACTGCTGTTTCAATACCTCATACATGTAGAATTACCAGATTTAACATACAAAGAGAGCAGGTAATCATTCATGCCTGCCAATTTACCAGCAAGTTAATACAACAACCTTTCTTTTCAATTACATGAACCTTCAATCTATCATTTGTCTGATTTTCTGCTCCTTATTTAATTTTCAGAACTGGTTAAATTTCTTACAATAACTGCAAACATATTTCAAAAGTAAACACTCATAGCATCAAGTAGGAAGTACAGAATACAAATTGAAACGTTTTAAAAGAACTACCAAATTTTGATTTGAACTTGTAGCAATTTATAAATAAGCAGGGGTGGTGTCCCCTGCCTTGTTAGGAAAGGGAAGTAGAATTTCCATAATGCACTAGAATAACAGTTTTCTCTCTCTCTCTCTGACAGCCCACTGTTGGACCAGAATGACATGTTTTCTCAAATGAGCTCACAAGAAAGATGCCTTTTCATACATATAAGCCTAAAAACCATTTCTTTCTCTGCATTAATACATACATGTGTTGATTGCCCCATCTTTACAGATGACTGCTGTCTTGCCCATCAACACCTACATCTAATCTAAATCATTGTTTCCTCTCGAATGACTTTGAAGGTGGCTCTTCAAACCAGCAGCTGATTTGCAAGACCTATAGCATAGATGACAGATGTGCACCAGAGTTTTTGCAAGGTTAAGCAGATGTTGTTATGGTAGGTCATCCTTGTGTACCACCATATGCCTCTTCAATCCAGATGTTGTTTCACAGATTTCCCTGCAGATCACACATAAATACACTTATATATATATATATACTGTATGTATATTCTGTAAATAATATGAATCACTTATGTAAGTAATTGTATGTTTAATCAAAAATCAATCATTTAATAAATGTTATATCTTGTTGTATACACACCAAAAACTGTTCATATTTTATTTCATATTTTGCACATGAATATTAATTCTACATGTTGTGAACAGATGATATAATCCCAGATGGAAAATATCAAAATCAAGAATAAAAGCCCATAATCCCTCAACAAACTTAAATAAAATTGTGTTAAATGATGAGATGTTTCATGATTGTAAAAAGAAACTAATCAAAATAATTTAAAAACAAACTTTTTCCTATAACTGATGCAAAAATGTGAGGGTAACTTAACACTATTTGAAAATATCATATTTTAACCAGATAATGAGGCACCAGAAAAATCCGAACTCTGGAAAAGACAATGGTAAAAGGGTAATAGAGCTAATCAGTCATGACCTATTTACTGAAAGGGGAGATAATTGATGTAGCAAGTTTAATCATACCAGTGTTTATGTAAAAAGCAAAAAAAAAACAAAACAAAAAAAACCAGTGCCTTTCACACATTATGCTCAATTCTTGTTCAGCCAACATTTGACACTTCAGGTTCATTAAGCAAATTGAAACTAGCAAAAAACTAAGAAGTAATATATGAATACATGACAATCTGGACAATAGTGGATTACTCAATCTGGTTATTAGAAACTCTTTAATTAGCTGAGTAATTAGCCATTTATGAATTGTATTAGATAACATGATTTTATGATATTGATTAAATATAAAAATCAGTAGCAAGAATATTATGTCATAACAAACTGTGAAATGGCAACAAAAAATAAAATACTTCACCTTTCAAGATCTTCTTAGGAAAAAAATGGTCAACAGTAAATATGACTTTTCTATTTAATTTTAAATTTGATTACCAAAAAATAAATAAAATGAACTTGGTTACTCACTATTAAGCAAAAAGGTACTGATGATAAAATATATTCATTAAAATGAAATATTTTAATTAATGCAATGATAAAATTACATAATTGGGAGAGTCAAAGAAAACATTTTAAATTCAAAATCTTTAATAAATATAAATTTCATGTGTTAGTTGGCTGGTTGGTTGTTTTTGTTCAGTGTCATATCAACCTCTATGGGTTATTTAATGATGAAATCTAAATATTTTGTATGCAGTTTTCTTGAGATAATAATTGTTTTAGTGATACAAGTCTTACTAATTAACCCACAAATGGGTGAAGAAATGATGGATTCATACCTCTCCCAAGGGTATTTGTACGTAAGTGAATATAATGAACCCTGCTAGAATTGGAATTCAGCGCTTTAACAATTCTGAATCACTTTCCCTTACACCACCTGCACATCCAAGCTTACAGCACTTAGTATTCCCAGTGGTCACCCATCTAGGTACTGACTACACTCAATGTTGCATAACTTTGGTGATTGTATGGGAACCAATGTTTCAACATGATGTGGCCATAAGCCTTTCATATGTCTGCTTATGGTTCTTCTGCAGAAAAGCCTGGAGAAATTTCAACTAATTTTTATTAATGATTCATACACTGTTTCTGTAATAGGAATAAGAAGTTTTGATAAGATTCATTTTAGATTAAAAAATATGTGATCCATTATAATAATCCAAAAAACAAAATGGAGGCGACAGATATAAGCATGAAAACAAAAGATACTCTTATTTATAAATGAATAAAGAAAAATTCATCAAAATTTTAAAAGAAATAAAGAATATTGGTTTGGATGAACTTAGAAATAAGCCAGAATGCAATCAAGTGGAGTAAGTAATCTGCACCAGATAATCTAATAATAACAACAGTGAACAAACATTTTGGTGGTTCTAATCAGAGAACAAAAGAAAAGAGTGATAGCAATGACTGAGCAAAGTGAATAAATGGACACTGACTGATGTTATTAGTTTGAGCCAATTAACCATGCTAACTCATCTGATATCTTGCTAAGAAAATACCATTCAAAAATCTTAAACATGTAACAATAACAGCTTGAACAAATTTATGAATCAGTTTTTTAGAATAGATATAAAATACTTTTAAACAAAATATGAAAATATTTTACTTTTGTACATTTTTTATAAGCAACTAAGGATTTTGACGAGTTTTTTGCCTACCTAATTACACAGTGTTAATAGCAGACATGGAAAGGAAACAACAAAACCTCCTACAGAAGGTAGCGAAGGCAAGCAACAAGGACTAAGCATAAACTACAAGAAGACAGAATGCATGGTTATCAGCAAAAGGAGAACCCAAAAATTACAGGTCAGGGGTACTAAAATCAAGCAGGTACAGAAATTTAAATATCTTGGAAGTGTTCTAACAGAGGAGGAAAATAAAATGCAATACTGAGATCCATTGACTTATTCGGATGTCCAAAGATGCATTCCAAAACCTAAGCAGATTATTAAGAGACAGAAAAATTTTATTGGAAACAAAGGAAAGTGTACTGAACAGTTATGTGATATCTTTCCTCCTGTATGGCAGTGAATGCTGGGCAATCTCCTCAAAGATGAAGAGACTTGAAGCAACAGAAATGTGGTTCTACAGAAAGATGCTGAGTATACCATGAACTGAACATGTGAGCAATGATGAAGTTTTGGAGAAAATGGAAACAAAAAGGAAACTTATACTTAACATCAGGAAGAAGCTGCTGAAATTTCTGGGGCACATAATGAGGAAGGAGGGCTTAGAAAACCTGATACTCACAGGACAGACTGTAACTTCATTTAATTTTAGGTTTTTCTTTTCTTTTGGATTTGCTTAAACCACACTGACATCAATAGTGGACTTGCTTAAGATTTAGTTAAATTTGTGTACACACACTTATAAAAGTTATATATTATACATAACATTATGTAACAAGAGTTGTATCTTTCATTACAAAAAAGAAGCAAATTAGCAAATTAAAATTAATTATATTTACTGTAAGCCTGGAGAACTATGTATGATATCACTTAAGAGTCAGCTATTATTTTGAGAGATGTCAAAATCAAGCAAGTACAGAAGTTCAAATATCTGGGAATTAATTTGATTTTTATTATTAAAGGACACATTTTTAATTATAAATAATTATTACATCTTAATATCAGTTACTTTTTTATCACTTCTCAGATAGCTGTCTAATACCAACAAAAATAAATGATAAACTTCTGATATTTATTTCTGATTTGTGTTTTTACTAGTAACAAGGCTCGAACTCACTTTTCAGTAGTAACTGATCAACAAGACAAGCTTGCTAACCATTACACCACGCCGAGGTGCCCAGAATCTCTAAATATATAGCAGGAGCACCAGATCAGATGTGGTAGCAATATTCAAAGCAAGGACAAATAGTAGACTTATAAATATGTAAGATAGATTCTAGCAAGAAAAATTGTCTAGCACAACATTGTGAACCAACTTTCTTAGCTGCAGGCTTAGCAATTTATTCAGTATACTCTTTCCACTTCATGTCAGCTGAAAACATTAGTCCAAGAAGGCACAATGAGTCACTATTTGAAATGCTAGAAAAGTTTAATTTATAAAAAGAGAAATATATCAGCCATCATATATGACAATGAATGCTGAATAATCTCCTCAAAGAAGGAACTTGAAGCAACAGAAATGTGGTTCTACAGAAGGATTCTTAGGACACCATGAACTGAACATGTGAACAACAACAAATTTGCAGAGAAAATGGAAACAAAAAAGAAATTCATGCTTAACATCAGGAAGAGATAATTGAAATTTCTAGGGCACATAATGAGGAAAGAGGTCTTGAAAAATCTGATACACACAGAACAGGTTGAAGGGAAGTGCAGAGAAAAACAGCATATAACCTTAGTGAGCTTGAATAAATGGATAGAAAAACAAGGTTCAGGAGAAATAACAAAAAGAAAAAAATTATTAAGAATTACAAAGGACAGGAAATTGTGGAGAACCATGATCTGAAAGACATGGCCCATAAAGTCGAAGATCAAAGTAATCCATAACTTTTACTGCAAACAAATAACCTGCATGTGGTTATAAAATACAGAAAAATTTAAAGAGCAGTAAAACAAGGATAAGTTTTCTCACTACAGCTCACATAACACTATTATGCAACTATTTTTTTTTTTTTGCAAGAAAAAGAGTAATGTCAATAAAGTGCTATAAGTTATGCATCACATACTATGTGAGGATAGACCAAGTCTGGACCAAGTTTTGAAAAGTTAGGAATTATATTATTGATTTTAACTGAAACAATTGGTAAAACTTGCTGGATAACGGTATTATGCATCTTGGTCATTTTGAGCTTATAAATAGTTTCTATGTATCAATAATAAGGATAAATAATAAAAGTAACATCGTTTAGTATTCCTTAATATTACATTTATCTAATCTGCTCAAAAATCTTTCTTTTCTTATCCTTATGTGAACTCCTTTTGCAGTCAATATTTTTATCAATCTTTTGTCCATTGAAGTAGTCAAACTTTGAATTGTAGATGGAGTTATGTGGGAGACCACATTCATTATTTGTTATTTCAGTTCTTCTTTGTTGATGTTTTGCTTTCCTCCTTTGTATAGTTTCTGCTTGCCAATTCCCCAAAGGTTCTCAATGCAGTTGAGGTCTGGAGATTCCATAAACTGCTTGCCTTTGAATTCTTTTTGTGCCAGAAATGCCTTTGTTAACTTAGCTGCATGCAAGTTGCATGAAAAGCATCTTGGATTTGAAACTTTGTGATTTTTTATTGTACCAGGGTATGAACTTTGAGTTAAAAAATTTGTTTTCCCTATTCATTTTCAGTCCATCTTCTACAAAGAATGGTCCAACGATAGTATCACCAATGATTGCCACCCAGAACATAACTCCTCCTCCACCATGCTGACACCTGAAGTGGGTTGAGCATACACTGTCCTCTGCCAACCAACCTCTGGCAAAGGCATCAGGACCATCAATAGTAGCTTGATATTCATCCATAAATAAGACAGAGCTGAAATTGCATTTCAAGTAGGCATTTGCCCATGAAATTCTTTTCTTGATGTTAGCTTTTGATAAAAGGAGGACTTCATTGGACTTTAACAACTTTTGCAAGCTCATTCAAGGTATTATTCTTTGTAGCTCTGTTCATTCTAGCTACAACAGCATCTTGAAATATCTTCTTGATAGATCCTAACATATTTTTCTTCAAAGCCTGAGTTATCAGATGGTTCTCTTACTTCATTATTTTCCTTTTACCAACAACAGATCTTGTTTTTTGGGTACAGTTGCTGTTAGAAATAGTGTGACGTTGTCCCCCGGTCGCAGCGCCAACTGTGACGTTCCATCCTGATCTACCACGGTGCCAGTTGTGACGTGGGCGTTCCAGGGTCCTATCCCGGTCACAACACCAGATGTGACATCCCTAAACAGCACCAATTGACGTCTTCGCCATGGGCGCCAGCTGTTCGCCCGCTGCTCCGTCCGGTGTCGCTGCTCCAAACATGACGTTCTAACCCTTTGGTGATTCGGGTAGGAATCTGGTTAGATTTGATATCAACCTCGCCGTTCCCAACCTGCTTCCAACGCCTGGTTACCAAGGTAACTGCACTGATCTCCAGTCTGCCTACCCACGTTGTGAATTGATCTTAGACAGACGAGATCAAACAGGGTTGGGGCCGTAATGCAAATTGAGTTCAACGGGGTGATAACACACAAATATGCATAAAAGAAAATAAAATGAAAACTCAAAAAAAGTTCAAAGTATCAAAGAAAAAGGTAACAAACTTTTTATGTCTAGTTGTTCGATACATAGGACTGCATCTACCTCCCGACCCGTTCTGTGGATTGTAGGCACGTCGCTTTCGCTAGGCAAGTTTTAAACGCTTCAAGTTGTCTGCTCTCTAAGAAATTTGTGTTTCGTGTGTCTTTGGATGAAAGTTGAAAAACTTATTTCTGTGGTCTGGTTCTAAGACGCTCTTCAAACTAATTGTTCTTGGTTGAAGAGGAGTCCAAAATTTTGCATGAATCTTGGTCAGCTATCTTGAGGCGGCTTCAACACTGGGCACTCATCTTTGCCGTCTGGGACTGAATTAACTGTCTTCTGCCCACCAGAGTCAAACGAACTCTTCTCTGCCCGCCTGGGTCTGACTGAACTTCTCCTTCTGCCCGCCAGGGTCCGGACTAACTCTGCCCGCCAGGGTCCGACTGAACTCGGCACTCAGGGCCAAACGAACTACTGGGCACTCATCTCTGCCGTCCGGGACTGAACTCTCTGGACACTCATCTCTGCTGCCAGGGCCGAACTAACTCTGCCTGCCAGGGTCCGACAAACTAACTCTGCCCGCCAGGGTCGAACGAACTCTTCTCTGCCCGCCTGGGTCCGACTGAACTACTGGGCACTCATCTCTACCGCCAGGGCCGAACGAACTAACTCAGCCCGCCAAGGTCGAACGAACTGATTTCTGTCTGGTGGGGCTTCGTTTTATTGACGCCGACCAAAACCGGGTGGGTCTGT